TGCCTCACTTATTGGTATGTCACATTCTTTTTCCCTACTTAGGAAGTTTTCTGCCATTACTTCTGTGAAAAGGTGTTTTATGTCATTTGTGCTAGCTCCCATTTTTTCATTGACTCTGATCAATCTTATATTATTCTTCTTTTCATCATCTAGCAGGTGCTGGATTGATTTTTCATGGTTTCTTTTTATTTGTAAGAAATCTTTCCATGGTCATTAACAATATTGCTATGCTCTATATCTGATTTTCTGTCCTCACATTGGCTCATTCTGCTGGGTATATTTTCTTTCTTTCTTTCTTTCTTTCTTTCTTTCTTTCTTTCTTTCTTTCTTTCTTTCTTTCTTTCTTTCTTTCTTTTTCTTTCTTTCTTTCTTTCTTTTTTTTGAGACAGGGTCTCACTGTGTAGTTGAGACTGACCTGGAACTCACTATGTAGCCCAGGCTGGTCTCGAACTCAGCGATCCTCCTGCCTCAGCCTCCTGAGTGCTGGGATTACAGGTGTGCGCCACCATGCCCGGTTTACTGGGTATATTTTCCATGGAATCTGCTGGATATCTGCTGGAATCTGTTTCCTGGGTTCCATTTCTTTCCTATGTTGGGCATTCATGGTTTCCATCATTTTCCTAAGCTCCTCTTCCTCTTTAAAAAAATCTGTATCTGCTCTAGAGTCACTAACCATGTCTTTCGTTATGGTTACCATCTCTGTAATTATCTGAGAAACCATTTCTGCTTTGATTTTTTTCTAGAGCCTCATTAATTTGCTTTGTTATTTCTTTTGTTACTGTTTCAGAGAGTCCAGGTGAGTAGCTTTTAGACTGTTCCACCTCATTGCCCCCTGGGTTTGCCATTGGTGAGCTGGAAATTTTTGGTTGTATCTTGCTGAAATGTCTGCTCAGTTTCTATTTTTAAAAGTTTAATTCCTGGGTTGATGCTTGTATATTGCTTATTGCAGGTAGCTTTATTACTAGTATTCAGAGCCCTTAAGAAAAGGCTACTTCTTGGAGGTGTCTTCCAGGTATGGCTGGCTTTTGGGTTTTGAGTGTATTGTAAGATCCTACCTCTTCAATTCACTGAGTGGGAAATTGCTTCCTATTTGGTCTAGCCCTGGTTCTTTGGCACTAGCCTATAGTGTTGTTTATGACCCTTAGGCCGTCTCAGTCTTGGCATACGAGGAAAATAACTGATTAGAACAACTATACACCTTGGCTAAAGTAGCACAGTCAGCAACATCAATAGCATCAAAACAGCCTAGAAAGTGACAAACTGTGGTACTATTAATTTGCCACTTTTAACTGCATGAACTAGATTTGTGGTTATATAAAAAAATCTAAAACAAACCAGAAAACTGTATACAATAAATATGCTCTCACTATTGCAATTTTACCCTCGGGGAGATAATTTAAGAGGTTTGGGGGGAAAATAGAGAAAAACAAGAAGAGGGAGAGATTCAAAGCAAAGCTGAAGAACAAAGGAAGCTTGTGCAGACATTTGGAAACTGTTGAAGAAGATGGGAGGGAAAGAGAAGGAAGAAATAAAAACAAGAACAGAGCAGAACAACAGTAACAAACTCAAAACAATTTCCACACTCATATAAAAACAAGAACAATCGAGAAAAAAATACAAGAAAAGAAAAAGTCCACTTTAAGGCATGTCTCTGCTGTCACTGGGAGATAACACGGGCAGACTCCAGATCCATGTTGATTGATCTCTCAACAAGCCAGTTGTAGATTTATGGTGGGTTGGTGGATAATCCCAGCAAGCCTGAACCTTAAGTTCTGAAGCTCAGGCTGGTTTCTGGCTATGAGCCTGGATCCCAGTTTATTCCACCTGCAACACCTTTGTGCCTCCTGCCGCTTGAATTTGGCTCCTTGACCTCTTGCTGACTTGAACTCAGTTCCACCTCACCCTGATGAAGCCAGCCTGAAGCTGGTCTGAGTTCCAACCTACGTCGGGCCCTCTCCAAGATGGCTACTGGCCAATCCCGCTCTCCTGCGGCATGTCTTAACCTGAATAACTCATCAGCCACTGTAGTCTTCTTTGTTCACGGCCCTGTCCCACTGGTGTGTTTCTCCATGGAGGCCTCTGGAGTCACAGCAGTCACAGTGCATCTGTAGGTTTGACCTGCCCTTTCCACACAGTGAGTCAGGAAGGGCTCAGGGAGAAGGTGCTGCTTGCTCCCTCTTTCTTCTCATTGAAATCTGTCTCTTTGATCCTGGGCTTCAATTCTTGTTTCAGATCCTTGCTAGGTCCCTTGGACCAACTGCCTTCCTTCTTCTCTTTCTCATTGCTATTTTCCAACATTTGGATACCAAATCTTGGAAAGGCTCTTTCCCTGCTGTTCACCACTCTACCATCTTCCCAGAAATCAGTGAAATTTAAGTTTTCATTTCCCTAATGTCTAAAGATGTTGGACTTTTTTTTTTTTTTTGTACTAGGGATCAAAGTCAGGTCCTTGCACTTATGAGGCAGGCAGTGGAACCGCTGAGCTAAATCCCTGGTCCTGGACTTTTTTTCATATACTTATTGGACATTTGTACTTCTTGTGAAAAATATCTGTTCATTTGTCCATTCACTGATTGGGCTATTTGATATTTTATTTTATTTATTTTTTTGGTACCAGAGATCGAACTTGGGACCTTGCGCTTGCGAGGTAGGCAACAGCACCACTGAGCTAAATCCCTGGCCCTATTTGATATTTTAATTAAGTTTATTAAGTTCTTATATATTCTAGATATGTACTAATCCTCTCTTAGAAGAGTAACATAACAATTTTCGCCCATTGTTTTTCTTGCTGTGCAGAAACTTTTTAACTTGATGTAGTCACATTTGTTGATTCTTGCTATTATTTCCTACACATTTCGGAAGTTTTTGCCTGTGCCTATGGCTTCAAATGTTTCCCCCTGTTTCTTTCAGCAAAGTTTCAGGTTTTATATCGAAGTCTTTAATCCATCTTCAACTGATTTTTGTGAAGGGTGAGAGATAGGGGTTTAATTTCAATCTTCTACAAATGGATATCTGTTTTTTTGTTTTTTTGTTTTTTTGTTTTTTTTGCCCAGCAACATTTGTTAAAGAGGCTGCCTTTTCTCTAGTGTATATATTTGGCTCTTTTGTCCACAATCACGTGGCTACAGTTGCATGATTTGTTTCTGTGTCCTCAATTCTGCTCCACGGGTCTCTGTTTCTGTGCCAACCCCAAGCTGTTTTTGTCATTATGGCTTTGTAGTGTTTGGAATTTGGTTTTGTGATGCATATGGCGTTGCTCTTTTGGCTTAGGACTGCCTTGGGTATTCTGGGACTTTTGTGTTTTCATATGAATTTTAAGATTATTTTTCTAGTTCTGTGAAGAATGTTTTTGGTATTTTGATGGTGATAGCATTTAATCTGTAAATTACCTTTGGTAATACAGCCTTTTAGATAATATAATTTTGCCAGATCATGAACATGGATGGTCTTTCCATCTTTTTGTGTTTTCGTCAATGTTCTGAAATTTTCATTGTCTTTCACCTCCTTGGTTAGACTAATCCCCAGGTATTTAATTTTATTGCTACTGTGAATGGACCATCTTGGACTTCTTGTCCCTGAGAGTCTCCTCAAGTCCTGTTCACTTCAATTTTCCCTCACTTTTTAAAATTCTTTCAAAAGCCTCTTTCCTTAAAATTCTCTTATTAAGTAGCCCTCTGTCTAAACTCTTCATTTACTTTTTCCTTGCTCTAATGTGTCTTCCTACACCACCTCCAGGCCTCACTTAGATCTACGTTGTGAAATAAATATCCCTACCTTAGGTACCCTCAAATTCATCCATCTGATCCTTACCATCCAACTTTTTTGTTTTTTTTGGTACCGAATTTCGAACTCGGGCCCTTGTGCTTCAAGGCAGGCAGCAGAACGGCTGAGTGAAATCCCCGGCCCTGCCATCCAGCTTTTGTTCCTCTCTTCCACGTTGCCGCTCCTCATCTAGTCCCAAGGACCCTTCCTAGGCCTGGAGTGTAGCTCGTTGGTAGAGTGCTTGCCTAGCGTGCTCAAGGCCCTGGGTTTCATCCCCAGCACAAGGTGGGGAAAGAGACTGCTTTTGAGGACTGTTTTATTTTCGTTTTTGTTTAAACCCCACAGAATAAAAAGTGCTGGGAAGGGGTAACCTCCTCACCCCCAGGAGTGTCCTGGGTGAGAGAGGCTACCTGAAGGGTGCAAAAGGGACTGGCTGCAGACTCAGGGCAGAGGCGGTGTCGGCAGTGCTGGGACCCCTGAGCGCTCCAGGCGGAGATGCGGCGCGGTGGGACCGGCTCAGGCAGTAGGCGAAGGCCGGGATGGTCGGACGCGAAGCCGCAAAGCTACTTGCGTTCTCATTTTCCCTTTTTCTGCTTCTACTGCGTGATCTCCGAACCCTTCTGCTCGCGCGTGGGCGGGTCATGGTGACAGCAGCGGCTCCCGCCTGCCTCTGTTGCATCCCCTCCATCTGGATCCGCCCACCTTCGCCTTGAGGACTTTTGATTCCCTGCTGGCACGTCTCTGTGGACTCCCCTGGACCTGCCGCGTTCTTCTCATGATGGCTTTTCCTCTTGCTGTCCAAGAAGCACTCGTCCACAAGGTGAAACTTAGGGATACTCCCTTGTTCTTCTGAAAATTATGAGAAAGCTCTGCTTGTCCCAAGAAACTCGGGGAGAAAAAGCCATTGTCTTTCTTCTTTTCTTTTTTCCTCTTTCTTTCTTTCTTTCTTGTTCGTTTTGTTGTTTTCTGAGACAGGATCTTGCTATGTAGTTCAGACTGGCCTTTGAACTCACTGTGTATTCCAGGCTGGCCTCAAACTTGTGGCAGTCCTCCTGCCTCAGCCTCTCAAGTGCTGGGATTACAGATGTGTGCCACCAAGCCTGGCCCCTTTATGCCTTTTAAGAAAGAAAGATCCAAACAAACCCGGGGAGCCCTCAGCCCCTCCCCAAGGACTCCTGTCTTCAGTCGCTGACCCGCCAGCCATCTCTAACCTGTACAACCTTCACCCCCCCTTCCAGCTTAATGAATTGCAGTGAAGCGGCTGTGAAAAAAGTTTTACCCAAGAGTCATTTGTCTCAGGTGATTATGCGTGATAACCTCCATGCCCAACGAACCTATGAGCTGCAGGTAAAGTAGCCATAAGCTTTTACATTTGTATTAGAGGATGTTACTGGATTAATCAAATTTATTTCACACTCCCTATGTCCTGGGGCAGGGGAAGGAGCCTACCTTCTGTCCTACATGTGATATGGAACCATCAAAGCAGGTCATATTTTTACAGAGAAGGCAATTGATACTTATTATTGATTTGCTCAAGGTGTTCCTGGGCTGAAGGAAGCAGGGAGGGAGATTCCATGTCTCTTGGCTCTGGTGGCATTTTTTTTTTCCTTTTTTTTTTTTGTTTTTTTTGAGGCAGGGTCTCACTATGAAGTTGCGACTGACCTGGAACTCACTATGTAGCCCAGGCTGGTCTTGAACTCACAGTGATCCTCCTGCCTCAGCCTCCCGAGTACTGGTGGTGGCATTTCGTCTTAAGGCACGTGATCTTTCTGGGTAGTCCATTAATGGCTTCTTGTTATCTCCCATACACTTTCAGGTCTGGGAACCTGAATTAGCATAATACTATCTGCTCAATTGTTTCTTCCTTTGGGGGCTTCTCATTTCCCATGTGAGAACGGAGGCTCTTCCACTTTTGTTCCCAGACAAGGGCTTGGCCTCCTTACTCAAAAACCCAAGTGTTGTCACTCTCCTGTTCCCCATAGAGCATGTCCTTAGGGGCCTCTCGGAACAGGCAACATTAGGCACCAAAATGAGTCACGTGAGCAAGAGGGACTCTAAGAACTCACTCGTTTGTTCGAGCAGAGCACGCAGCCCGGAGTCCGCTTCTTAGCTGTTGAGCTTCCCCCTGTGTTCAGGGTCAGATCCAGGTGGGCCCCTGGGATTCTGACACAGAAGAGTGGGGAACCCTTCAAAGAGGATGCCAGGTCCTCTTAAGGACAACGAAAACTAAGAGCTGGAGCTGGGCGTGTACAGCTTGTGGCAGAGCCCTTGCCTAGCCCGTGAGAGCCCTAGGTTCCACCTTTACCCTTGCAATAGAAAAAGAAAAGCCAGCTTCTATATCAGATGCCCCAGACCCCTCATCCCTCAAAACCCAAGCACAAGGTGTGTCAATCCTTCTATGCAGCTTCTCGTTTTCAGGGCTAGAATCAAACTCGGGGCCTTGTGAGGGCGAGGCAAGGGCTCTGCCACTGAGCAGCATCCTCAGCTGTGTGCAGTTTTCCTTCCTGCCTGCCTTCTTTTAAGGGGGTATCACTTTTTACCTGGCTTAGACATATTTGGGCACATGTCTCCCCGGCCACACTGCAGTTACTGGGAAGACCTGTGGCTGGATTTCCGTCACCTCCCTCACCTCCCTCATCTACTGCAGTACCTCCGGTGCCATCACCTCCCTCAGCTACTGGAGTGCAGTCCCTGAGTGAGGGAGATACAGGCTGTGCCTTCCCAGACCTGTTCGCTGGTGGGGACAGGACAGAATTTATATAGTAGGAGAAATGAATGAAATTCATTGTGATACAGGGCCGTCTGTGGAAAGCTCTGCATGACTGAGGGACGGAATAACCCGACCGTGGGAGGAGGAATAAACAAGGCACACCTTCCCACCACCCTAGCCCCGTTGCTTTCTGATCAGCCTTCCCATAGAAATATGAATAAAGTCCAAGTCAGACTCCTCAGCTGCAGACTGTCAGTACCATAGGGATCTTCCAGCCCAATACTCACTTTCGACAAATGAGGAAACTGAGCCCCCTAGTGAGTCATAGCACTGTATTTAGGGAATTAATATCGGATCCAGCAAGCACATTTTTCACCTTAGACGTCTCTTTTACTGTGAAGCGGCTTCATAATCCTAACCTTATCTGTTGTCGTTGTTGTTGTTTTAAAGGAGAAAGCCTTGGAGAAGGCCAAGAAAAAGACAATCCAATGGTATGAACATCTGAAAAAACAGCTCCTAACACACCAGCTGAGAAAGCTGGAGCACTGGAGACAGGAATCCCTGAAAATTCAGCCATACTTGGACAGCTTGAGGGCGTATGAAATCCAGTTGAAACTGCAGTCTTCCAGGAACAGGCAGCCGCCCTAGGCACGGCAGAATGATCTGCACCAGGGCCACAATGACATCAGCCAGACCGGGGCGGGGGGGAGCTAGAATGAGCCAGCCCACCCCACCGTAAACCAATAAAGCAACGCCACAGACAGCGGGGACACAAAGAACTCTCAGCCTTTGTAATATTCTCTTCCCTGCCCTTCTCTTGTATTCTGGGAAAGAGGTCCCGATAGTCTCATTGGGGCGTGAGTGGGACAGAACGAGCAGAGCCCGCCTCTGGGATCAGTGCACATTGACCCGTCAGTGCTTGTATACCCTCCCTTCCTTCCCCTTTCCCCTCCCGTCTCTTCCTTTTCCTCCCTCCTCTTCTCCTTTCTTTCCTTCCTTCCTTCCTTCGAGTGGAAGGGGGAGGTAGCTTTTATTTTACTTAGACAGGGTTTCCCTATACAGCTCAGGCTGGCCTTGAACTCACTGTGTTGCCCAGGCTGGCCTCAGACTCATGGTGATCCTCCTGCCTCAGCCTCCTGAGTGCTGAGACTACAGAAGGACATGTGCTACCATGTCTGGCTGAGAAAGGTAACTTTATGAGCCTCATTTTAAGGGTGAGAAACAGGCTTGGCGAGTTTGATAGCGAGAAAGAAACCCAAGCCCATCTCACATTGAAGCCCATCTCCTACCCCACGTTAGGACTTCGTGCATCTTTGCCATTACAGGTGGACGTGGAGGACCTGGCACCTAGAGAACAGGTCAAATCCTGGATCTGGTCTCAACTCCATGATTTCATAGATCATACTCTGGGGGCCCCAATTTTAATGTCAATCACGTGAGAAAGAAAGACAAACCCAAGCCCATCTCACATTGAAGCCCATCTCCTACCCCACGTTAGGACTTCCTGCATCTTTGCCATTACAGGTGGACGTGGAGGACCTTGCACCTAGAGAACAGGTCAAATCCTGGATCTGTTCTCAACTCCATGATTTCATAGATCATACTCTGGGGGCCCCAATTTTAATGTCAATCACGTGAGGTCAGCTGTTTAGCTCAAACCCAAGTGTCCCTTCTATCAAGTGACTGAAGAACTTGTCCCCCCGTGTGGGATGGACAGGTGGTTAAAGAAAGTCAGGCTAGGTTAGGGAGGTATAGATGAGGGAGACGCTCACCCAAGAAAGGGAAAGGCACAGGAGTCCTGCTTCCTGCCCTGGGGCTGTTAAAAATGTTCTCAGCATCACTATCAGGAAATCGGCGCTGAAGGGTACTTTCTCCTAAGGAGGTCAAGTATGTGTGAGCCCACCTTCATTTCCGGCTGGAAATACGATTCATTCGTTTCACCACTTTGGAGTACTTGGGAAGACGTTTTGATGAAAGAAACTTGCCCGGTGCACAGTAGTCCTCATTCCTTTCCAGATTTCTCCGCGATCTGGAAGAAGAGGAAGAAAATCTCCATGTCCCGAGCACCTATGGTATGCAAGGCATTGTCTCGCTCACCTCGCTCACTGCTCCCAACCCTTGTCAGGCGTCCTGCCGTTTTACCTGTGAGAATGCCAGGAACAGAGAGGTTAAATTGTTTACTGAGCAGGAAATGAGATGTATGAGGTCAGCTCATTCAGGCCGGTCCACTTCCTAGTACTCCCGAGCATCGCTGTGAGCGGGGAACGTGATTTCAGCCATGGTTGGCCTCGGGCTGTCCCGGGAGGGATGACCGCGTCCGAAGGTCCCTAGACGTGGCCTCTGGGCCTTGACTTTCCTCCCATGGACAGAGCAGTAGAGCATAGCAGTAAATAGCAGGATGAAAGGGCGCATGAGGTAAGGACCCACCGTATTCCTCTCATGGCTGGACCTCGTTCCCAACTGTCGATGAGCAGTGGGTTCAGAACTATGGCTTGGTGGACCCAGAGCAGCCTGCCCTGGGGGCTTGGCAGCTGGAGTTAGAGGAGCGCGTCACCAAGGAGTAGGAGGAGGCAGGTAGCCACCCCAATTGCTGCTGAAAGTGATCGCAAAGTTCTCAGCATTTCTGCGGCATCCATCCCCCCCCACGAGGTCCCTCCACAGACAATCAGAGCACAGAAGTGGAGGAAGCGGTTTTCTGGCTTGCTGTGATTCCTGGTTTTTGCTGATTGGTGTGGGCAAGGGGGTGACCTGCAGCGTGAGAGTGCCTCTGCCCTGGTTCACTTCGATCCTGGGCAAGTCACCTCACTAATCTGGGAGTGTGGGCATGCGCACGGAGCTGTCTTGTGTGGAGCCTCTCCTATTTTATAGGTGGGTAACTGAGGCAGGGAGGGGGAAACTGATTTGCCAGTCATGTAAGGACTTGGATGGACTGGGACCATTTCTAGTATGCTACCGCCAGCCTGCTGTATTACTAGGGATTGCACCTTTGCTCTGAGCTCTCGGCTCCGCTAGGCTGCCCAACCTAGGCTCAAACTTGTGATCCTCCGGCTTGAACCTCCCAAAGTGCTGTGATTATGGATGTGAGCCACCACACCTGGTGATGCCACTCGTTTGTAAAGTAAGGACTAAATCCTGACTCTTGCCTCCTCCCAGTATTGTGGAAGGACCCTACCAGATAAGTAGGCAATGGGAAGTGTTTTGATTTGGTTTTTTGTTTGTTTGTTTTTTGAGACAGGGTCTCACTGTGTAGTTGAGATTGACCTGGAACTCACTATGTAGCCCAGGCTGGACTCTCAAACTCACAGCGATCCTCCTGCCTCAGCCTCCCGAGTGCTGGGATTACAGGCGTGCACCACCACACCTGGCAGGGAAGTGTTTTGAGATGACAGGCGTGGATGGCCATGCTGCTGACCAGGATGGATTTCCACAATGACCAGTAGGGGGCAGCATATGCTTGCACTATGTGTGGAACTAGGCTCTGCTGCAGGCACCAAATTGTGTGTGCTGGGGATCTGGGAAGAAGGCCAAGTCATTTAGTTCCCTGGGACGCAGAGCAAGAACGGAAGGCAGGGACCCGTCCTGACCCAGTCCCTTGTTGAGTTACAAAGTGTTACTTTGGCTGTGACAGTCCAGAGTGCGGTCCAGCTGCTGACTCGGAAAGCAGTGCTGTAGGGCTGAGCAGACAGAGCCGGGCGGGCCTTGACTTGGGGCCCCCTGCCTCCCCCAGTGACCTCTCTGGCCTTCAATTCTCTTACCTGCAACTCAGGGCCATGAGGCTGGTGGGTGATCCTTGCTTCCCTTTCATTACTCAGGCCGTGGGATGGTTCCCAGAGCGTTGCACACATAATGTCCATAAATATCTGCCAAGTAGAAGGCAGCAGATCCTGCTTGGAGCAAAGCCGGAAAACCCAGGCTTCTGTAATGCAATCCAGGTGAAGTTTACTTTACTTGTGCATTTATCACTTTACAGAACCATCTCGATGGGATTCCTTTAAGTAGTATGCTCACCTTGGAGCATTTTCAAAGATTCCTTCATTCGAATGCACATCCCCACTGGCTCCAGTCAGGTCTCTTAGCTGCTGGAATTACTCCTGTGGAGGGGCTTTGTACAGAAGCTCTTGCAGTTGGCTGAGCAACATTCCCCTTCTACCTCAAGCTGTGTGTGTTTACTGAGTTCCTCCTACACACCCAGCATCTCCCCATTCGAGGGGTATTTATTGAGCACCTACTTACCAATATGTCAATCACTAGTCCTGACCCTAGGAAAATGGCAGCAAATGCTTGCTTTGCAGAATCATAACTGCTTGTGTGTATGTGTTTGGGGGGATACCAGACAAAGTAAGTAAATAGGACTCCTACAGTAGAAATAATCAAAATACTCACCAGTGGATAAGAGAAGAAGCAAAATATGTCTATCCATACAATGGAATAGCATGCAACAAAGTGGAGCGAAGCGCTGATACATATGCTACAATACGGGCGGACCTTGAAAATCTGTGCTAAGTGGAAAAAAAAAGTGAACCACAAAAGACCACATAGAGTATGCTCCATTCATTAGAAATGTCTAGAATAGGCACATACAGAGGAAAAAGTAGAGCAGTGGTAGCGTTGGACTGGGAGGCGAGGCTGGGCCTTGATAGCTAAAGGCTAGAGATTCTCTGGGGAAAGATGAAATGATGACACTGTTCATGCTGATGGCTGTGCAACTCCACGAGGATTCTAAGCCCTGAAATGTGTACACGTGAGGGGCAGATTGTGTGGTGAGTGAATTACACTGCAGTAAAGAGCGAATGAGGGGCATGAGGTTCACTTCGGCGAGATCAGAGAAAGTTTCAAAGGGAAGATGACGTTTGAACAGAGAAGAGGTAAGGGAGGGGCTCCGACGTGGGGGGCGAGACCCAGGGAACGCCCCAAATTCCATTAGTTTTCGCTCACAATCACATCGTTCGGCACCCAGTCTTGCTGATTCTGATTCATTGTGGAGGGACTGGGCCTCAGCTTGGTTCTGGGTTACAGCCGCGGCACCCAGTGGCGCCTCCTCATAAATGCGCTGCAGAGCACATGCGGCCGGGCCTCTCCCTCAGGCCAGGGCGATACTGGCGGGACGAGCATCCGGGGAGCGGGTCCTCTCCGTCACCCTGAGTCCTCACCACGCCGAAATGTGCACGGGACCCTTTTCTGCTGGTTATCACCCCTGGCTTCACATTAGAATCGTGCAGGGAGGGAAGGACGGGAGATTTACCCAAGGCCAGGACATCCTCTCCAGAGATGCTATTTGAATAAAGCAAGGGCAGCAGTAAACTTTTTAATTCCCCAAACGATTTCTCCCGAAAGAATTGATGAAAATTGGTTTGCTAATGAAGCCGGCTGGTATAAATCAGATTTATGAAAGACAGCGCAGTGGGGCTGCTAGATCTGCCGATAGATCCAAGCTGTGCCGTTTCCTCCGGCAGATGCCAGGACATCTATTCCAAGGGTCTTCATTTCTCCTTATTTCTTCTTCCGAAGAACCAAGCAAAACGCCACCTGGTGGCGCTCTACCAATCTGCTGTGTGTAAGAACTTCGAAATTCCCAGCCGACCGCCCTTACACCTTCAAAGGTCCTTCACAGAAACGGTCAGAGGAAGTGAGCGGCGAGAGGCACGGTGTCCACCGTATCTGATTCCTTTCCCTGCTGGCCGCCAGCGTGGACTAGGAGGTTGTCGCTGGCGGAGGAAGAACGCAGCTGGAGAAGCCGGTGGCGGCACATCCTGGCAGGAGAGTGTGCTGGAGAGAAACC